ATTCTGCAGCACAATAAAAATATGTTTTTGCTCATCTGACAAAATTTTAAAAATTTTGACTCGTTCACACCATTCAGCTATTGTTGTGTTGGCTGTTGTCATTTTTTTTCATTTGGCAATCTAAGAGGGAAAGAGGTAAGTGCCCCTGACTGCAGTCAGGTATTGCATGTTTTAAAAATTCTTGTGGCACACTATTTGAAATCACCAGGTAGCTCAGTTGGCTGGAACATTGCCCCAATATACCAAGGTTGTGGAACAACAGTAAGTGGAACAACAAAAATGGATGTTTCTTTCGCTTTCTCTCTCTCTTTCTTCTTCTCTCTCTCAAATCAATTCCTATGCAAAGACAAACTCTACTTAATTAAAAGTGTAAGGGTTAGTTAATTTGGTAAGTTACATGGATACAGTTTTAGTTCTTAAAAATAAATACAGGCAGACCTCATTTCCTTGTTATTCTAAGCTGTTATTCTGGAAGGCATTTGAGAGAGAATTAAAACCCATTTAAGGGCTTTTTCAAATAAAGAACAAGACCTTAACAAAACTGGCTATGATGTTTCCCCCTAAGTTCCTTACTCTGTATTGCTTATGAAACATAAGTCAGAAAAAATGGCCAAATCCAGTTCAACTGATAGAATTTGAAAGTGGAAAGCACACCAGTGCTAACTAGTATACTTTCCACAAATAGAAGGGGAAAGGGTACACATGATCAGCAGAGACAAGTGAATCACAAACTGACTCTCACTACAGAAAGAACCAATCTTGACACCGCCTCTCATTCAGGCAATGCAGGTTGCAACAGGAGCTCAGCAGTGGCAACTCTATACCATATCTGGGCTTGCAGCCTGCCCTGGACCTGGAAACTAGCTCAGTAACATTAAACTGGGAAGGCATGGTGGAACAGTAGAGCCAAAGAGCTACAGGGGCTTTCTCATGCACTTTTCTTTTAAAAAATATATATTTCTTTATTGATTTAGAGAGGAAGAGAGAGATAGAAATATCAATGATGACAGAGAATCGTTGATTGGCTGCCTCCTCTTGCACGCCCCCTATTGGGGATCAAGCCCACAACCCAGACATGTGTCCTAGGCCAGAATCAAACTCATCAGTCCACAGGTCAATGCTCTATCCACTGAGCAAAACCAGCTAGGGCTCTCATGCACTTTCCCCCCTGGCCCAGGACTCCTATGTGTTTAACAAGGTTTGCAGCAGAGCAAACTATTGGGGAAGCAGTAACTAGGAACACTGGCTCTCCACCTTGGCCTCTGGGATGAAGGTTGTTAAAATAAAGTCTGACCCCCTCCTGGAATTACTGCTTGGACAAGTTTTAAAAATTCACATAAAGTTACCTCCAGCAAGTAGTTTTCAGTAAACATTTTCAGTCACTCAAGGGACTGAAGCTGCTTTTTCTGGCCACAACAGGTACAGGCTCGGTCAGAGTAGCTTTGAAATCATCATCCAAGTTTTCAAACAAGAATAAGAAAGCAACTGCTGCTAATAAAACATACAAACATTAACATATACCCAACGAACACTGTTTTAGATCATCAGATTATTTGCCAAGAGCCTGTTCCCTGGTAAATAATAGTTACTGTTGTTATACCTAAACGAGTTATACATGTTTCAGCTTGCTCCTCAAAGAGTACATTCTATAGTCTTTCAGGAATAAAAACCTGCTTTATTTGTCATACAACAGTGAGAGGTCTTGCAACACTTATACAAGCAATCACAAAATTTGGTCACCAACCAACCCAGAGCCAACCTCTCCGTTTCTGCAGATTAGAAGCCACTATTCACTCACTCCTGCTTGTTGACTTCTGCATCCCTTTATTTGTGTACTGAGAGAACAAGAGCCTCTGCGGAACTCCATGCCGTTTAATTATTTATCGTTTACTTTGGACAACTATCGATCATTCTTTTGTGACATGAGAGTTAGGTACTTATTAAAAACAAACAGCAGAAAGTCCTCACTCAGCATGGCTGCATTGCCCCTTAGTAACATGAGTCAGTGCATCCACCAGGGTCCAACTGTTTTTCTGTCTCCTCTACGTGCTGCTTTAGCTACGGCTAACGGAGTCGTGGTGTGACCCTCACCTTGACTTGGGGACCCACGCCTTCCTCGCCGCCGCTCTGAGGTCTGAGTTTCCAGGGGCCCCAGACCACCCCCACCCCAACCCTTCCCCACGGGCTCCAGCAGGGGCGGAGCTGTTGTCCGCCTCGGGGCCAAGGTAGAGGCGCCGAGGTCCCGACCCGCTCCCGAAGGCCAGCCCCGCCCCGCCCCCGCGGCCTCACCTGCCGCCCCGGAAGCCCTGCCCCCGCCCCCGCCCCGCAAGCCCCGCCCTGCGCCCTGGAAGCCCCGCCCTGGAAGCCGCGGCCGGGCGGCACGCGGCGGCCGCGCAGCCGGAAACTGGCCCGTCGGCTTCCCCAGGCCGGATCTGGACCCGCCGACCTGTGGGCTGGGCTGGGCGGGGCGGGGAAGCGGGGCTTCCGCCTTCCTGCTTCCGGCCTGGCGGTGAGTTGGGAGTTGGGGTCCGAGTCCAAGGTCCGGGGCGCGATGCGGGGGATGTTCGGGGCTGCTCGCGGGGGTTCGGCCCCGGCGCCGGGCGGAGGCTGCCGCGGCCCGAGCGCGCGAGGGGTGGCGGGGGCTCCCCCTGCGCCCCCGGACGGCTGCTGCGGGGCCCGCACTAACCGGGGCCGGGAAAGGTCGGGTGAATGGGGGCCCCGGGGTCGGGTCGGGGGACGAGGGAAGATGGAGCGGGAGGGAACCCTCGGGAGGAGGCGGGAGTGCGGCGGCGGCGGCGGCGTGGGGCGCGGCTCCGGCCGGAGGGCAGCCCGGCGGAGCCCTAACGGAAGCGCCAAGTAACATTGTTCCTGCAAGTGTGGGGGCTCCCGGAGGTGTGTGGGCTGGGCCCGGTTACTCCTGTGTGGAAGGAGGACATTGCCCTGAGCCAGGCCCTTCACGCCGGCTTCATTCCTTACGGCAAAGTGCCTCTATTTCCTCTGAACGTCGCCTCGGTGCGGTCGTGGCTGGGCTGAAGTGGAAACGGGCGGATATCTAGTTCCCGCCGTGGGTGGGGCGCCCGAACCGCGGGGTGGGAAGGTGAGCCTGATGTTTAACCGGTCTTAGCACTTGACTGTGCGTCCAGTTCAGAATATGAGGAAATCGTAGTTAAAACCAGTCGCAGTAGTTTTTTTTTTGAGGTGATGGGGCTGTGGGTGATTTATATCTTGTTTTGGTTATCTTTGATTCTTCTAGGGAGGATACGAATCGTGTAATAGGGAGAGAAAAAAAAACTTTAAAGCTTAAGGAGAGGTGTTTGATTTTGTAATTAATGTACCTAATCCTATAAATTTGTAATTAATGTACCTAATCCTATAAATTAGTCGACGACATATTTAGTGTAAAAAGTTCAGATGTAGGGATGGATTCGCTATAACATCAGCGAGCTAACATCTTTTTATGTCACTGAATTACAAAATTCATAATTGCATTGTTGAAATAAGCTATTTAGTAAAATGGCTCCAGTAATTAGGATTTTCTTATAAGGCATTTACAGTTGTAATTCTTTTTAATTAGGAAGAAAGAAATCGATATTAGATGTCTATAATGTGCCAGGCAATTTTAGGTGTCATTTATAGATTGCATATCTAGTATTTAGAAATTTTTCATTTAAAAATTATATTTTATTGATATTTTACAGAGAGGAGAGAGTTAGAAATATCTATCAGCTGCCTCCTGCACACTTCCCACTGGGGATGTGCCCACAACCAAGGTACTTGCCCTTGACTGGAATGGAACCTAGGACCTTTCAGTCCGCAGACCCATACTCTATCCACTGAGCCAAACCGGTCAGGGCAGATAAAATTTTTCATTTAAAATTTATAATTATCCTGAAAATTGTGATTTAAATTTTGTTTTTTATTCTTTTCAATCCACCCAGCATATAGAATTTAAACCTTCCCTCAGTAGTAGAGCTAAAGACGACGACAGCCAACCAGGGGTCATCCATCTGAAACTGTAATTGGCTCACTAATCCAGGACGAAGTCAGAGATCACAACTCAAGCATAAGGTAATTTTTTAAATTCCAACTGACATTGTAAGTGAATGTATATAAACCCATTCCTACCAAGGAATTCTAATTCTCTGCTTTGAATAGAGGTTGACACAAATGTGAAAGGTAGAAAAGCCTCTAGGGCAAAATAAAAAATGACACTCAAATCCACACTTCCCTCATTTGCCAGATGGCCTTCCCATATCAACTCAAAAGGGAACAAAATCCATGGCACCTGTCATGGTTAATTTTCCCATTATTAAATATGTTATCATTGATTAAATTATGTCTTCAAGTAGGAGTCCTTACAGCTGAAAGAGGGCATAAAATAGCAGGTCACATTTTGCTTATATCTCTTTGCATTTGAATGGATAGTATTGCAGTTTCTTTTTACTCCTGGAAATGGCCATCCATTACCTCTCCTACTCCAAGCATTTTTTGTACTCTGGCTTGTCTTTTTCAAACACCAAAGTTGATGATTTGTATTTTTGTTAATTAACACTTAATAGTACTAAGGCTATGTAAAAAACAAACAAACAAAAACACCCCAAAACAAATGGGACTTATCTGTTTCCTGGAATGAGTATATAAAACTCAAGATTCTTATAAAACTTTGCAGCTAAATAAAGTTTATCTTGAATATAGGCAGCATGTGAGAATGCATAGCCTTTATGACAGATTCCACATGGATTTTACTTTTATCTTCTATACCTTCACATCTTTTAAGTGTCAGTTTTCTTGTTGTCCTAGTTGAATTATTCTTTCTTAACTGGAGATACTAGTCTATTAAAATAGTACTAATTAGTACTTTTAAAAAACAACTAATGAGTGATAATGGAATTCTGAGTTAACCGATTGTATAATGTAACTTGTTCAAAAATTTGATTAACTACATATTCTTTTCTCTTATTCTCTCCTTCCAGTCTCCTTTCCCTCACACTGCTACAGAGATGTTTGACGTAAAGGCTTGGGCTGAGTATGTTGTGGAATGGGCTGCAAAGGATCCATATGGCTTCCTCACAACAGTTATTTTGGCCCTTACGCCATTGTTTCTAGCAAGTGCTGTACTGTCCTGGAAACTGGCCAAGATGATTGAGGCCAAGGAAAAGGAGCAAAAGAAAAAACAAAAGCGCCAAGAAAACATTGCAAAAGCTAAACGACTGAAAAAGGATTGAAGGCATGAACAGGCTCTGCGACCAGAGGAAACTCATTCGGGAAATGAGGCAGCTATGGAAGGACCCTGTAAGGTTTCTTTTCTGGATTTATGATAGCATTTAATAAACGAAGCCTGAGCATATATGGAAGAATCATGTTAGTTCTGACCGCTACTGTAGCAACTTTTAGGCTTCTGTGTAGAAGTCTGTTGACAGTTATTTATTATGCCAAAAATGCTTCATAACCGACTTAGTCATTTGCCGTTTTGCGGCCTAATACATCCTGTGGAGAAAAAATGACTTTAGATTATGAACTCTTCAACTATTGGCTCAAAAAGAGCCCTGTTCTGGACAAAGGAAACTAAGAATGTAAAAATGAGAACTTTCCTGAGGTGAAAAATACGTTTTGGCTTAAAAAGTGATACTGCATATTAATCAAATCTTTTGTCATTATTGCTTATATCTTAGTATCATTTCTGGCTTTCTCAAAGCAAAATATTATTATTCAGTGAGTACTTCATTTTCTACATTTTCCTCATTCTAACCTTTGAGAGACTGGTAATTATCAGACATTCTGCCTTTTTTTTTTAAATCTAATTTTATGAAAAATTCATCTTGATTGTATAAAGTACCACCTACTAATAACAATTTTATACGTATGAATGCTGCCATTTACTTAGAGATGACTTGTTGACTAGAGTAACAGTTTAAAGCTTGCAGTAAAAATGCCAACCTTTGTAGTACTTTGGAACCAGTTTATTCTTGTTCTAAGAAGAAATGTGAAGTAGTTAAAATGTCTTATATGATAATTTGCTGATTATATGTATACCACTTTTAACTTTTCCAATTTTTGAACTCATGTAGTGATGTTCTATAATTTTTGATCAAACAAGTTCACAGTGAAAATGAAAATTTCAATTTTGTTTTCAAGAAACTCTAAGAGTAAGTCATATTTCATAAGTTAAATCCATGGTCCAATAATTTTATTTGCTATCAGTATTTAATAGCTCATTAATATTTTCCTTATCCTAATAATGAATTCTAAATTACAGAAATTATCCAACAGCTTTAATTTAAAAATGAAAGTAGATATTGAAATAAAATTGATACTTTTTTATAAGGAGGTCTTGAGGTTTTAGATTTTTTGGGGGGGGAAAGAGTATTAAATAATTTAAGTTAGTAATGTTATAAAAGTTAGACTTTTCAAAAGATTATGAATTTCATTTGTAAAAGTTGAGGCTGATGTTTCTCAAAGGACAACCTAAGGACCCCAAGAATGTTTATTGGACTGGTATGAAATAATACTACCACTATTTTAGGTTGTCAGTTCCTACTTGATGCCATTGTAAACATTACATTGCAATCCTAGTTACTGAAATAATCCAGGGTTTAGTTATGAGATATAAGTTCAGGTGATCAAGATATGCTTTTTGTATTTTGAAATGAAAACAATACTTAAAAAAATGCTTAGGTATAACTACTGACCCTGGTGTGTCTGCAGAATCCAGTTTAAGAAAAAACTAGGTTAAGATATGTCTAAAGGGCTTTTGGGTTTCTGTCATCAAGTTGTTCAGAAAAGGAATTTATATATATAGGCCTCACTTATGGCCACATTTTAGAGTAAAAATACTACCGCAAAAGAAATATTCCTCTTAATTCTCAGTTATCTATTAAAGCTGTGGATTCATTGTTCTGTTGTGATAGTTTAAAGGTATTAATTTAACTGAAATATTTTTTTCCTATAATTTCTTTTAAAGTCTTAAACACATGCCAGTTTTATATTTGTTTGGCATATGGCATTTGTTGTTACTTTAGCTTTTCCCAACACTTAAGAAGCCTTTTTATACATAAAAGGTCAATAGGTTTTACAGTGTGTGTGTGTGTGTGTGTGTGTGTGTGTGTGTTTATGGGGGTGGGAATTCAAAATAGAGCCTACTATGAGATTTGGATTTTTTAGAAATATTAATCTTTTCTCATTGAAACAAATAGTACTATAGTTAAGAATCACATTTACTATTATCTAGAATACTTTAAAAATTGACTACTTATATTATTTGAAGTTCTGAGAAGTAATACAACAGTTACCCCCCTCCCTTTTTTTTTTGGCTGGTTTTGGGGAAATAAAGATAGCTGCCTGTAGCAAACATTTAAAATACCCTCTCTGCAAAGTTTGTGTGTCAAAATTTAATCCTTAGTGTCCATGTGATAAACTTCAGCATGGAATTATTACTGTATCAGATGTGCAAGGGCATTTCTAACTTTTTATTTCTTGAAATTATAGTAATCAAACTGGAAATAAGCTTAGAAAGTTATAAGCTGGAAACCCAAATGTTGAAATCCTATATAATAAAAGTATAATAGGCAAATTGACTGAATGGCAGAATGATCGGTCCGGGAAGAGGGGCGTTGGGGGCGGGGTGGGGTGGTGGTGGCGCAGGGCAGGGCCAGCAAGGCATGTGCCATTGGGCAGAGGGAGGAGACAGCAGTTGTGGGGCGGCAGTGACCAGCGTGACAGAGGGGTGATGTGGGGGCTGTAAGGGCCAGCTGGCGCTGTCCCCTGATCAGCCTGCCTGGTTACCTCTAGCAGAGGGAGTCCTGAGGGCTCCTGGACTGCAAAAGGGCACAAGCTGGGCTGAAGGGCCACCCCCTCCCCGAGTGCATGAATCTTCTAGTAAATTACAATTAACAGCTTTTCTATTCCATCTTTCCTTACAGATGAAGTAAGGGAAAGTGGCAAGGGGCACTTTACACCTCATATGCTTTTCACTTAAAGTTTGGTTCCTATTTAGGATTGCTTTTATGTTTACATTTTGTTATCACTCTGGTTGATATCCTATCTGGACAAATTCTGTATCTCTGAAACATTTAAAGGGATTCCATGTTCAAATACCAAAAGTTTTAGAAACAAGGTAAGATTTAGGATTCATTCCTGCATCTATGTTGGAATCTTTTTAAACTTAATTTGACTATCATAGACTCTCCTCACCTCTAATTTTTTTCTTCAAAGAACACATAGTTGAAAAAGCTTTGGCTAAATAAATTCAGGTTTTATTTTAAACAATGTGGGTAATGAGATGGCCTTAAGAAAATATAACTGTATTGGTTCAATGCTAATTAAATTAAGAAATAAAAATTAAGAAAAATGATAGCCAGAAATCTGTTAGTAAAAGTAGAAATGGAAACAGGTAACATAATAGGGGAAAATTACATCTTCCATTTTTATTTTTAACTTTAAATATTCAAAGCATAGCTTTTAAACTAGATTTATAGGATTAAGCCCAACAGCCAACACATTTTCTATACTGAAACAGTTTTTATAATGTAATAAGCCCAATATTTAAAAATATATATTACTAGAGGCCCAAGTCCCTCAGCCCAGCCTGCCCCCTCTCAGTCCAGGAGTCCTCAGGGATATCCTAATGATGGCTTAGGTCCTGTGGGGAGCCTGCCTAAACAGTCTCTGCAGGAGGTGACTGGTTAATAAGGGGAAGGCACCACCCCCATCACCCAGCTGCTGCTGTCACTTCCGCCCACCACAGCCACCAAGGTGTTTTCATCAACATGGACTCCAGTCCCTTCACCACGAAAAAAATGACAACTTTCTTTAGGCATTTTCAAAATGTCTCTTTTATAGGATATGACATTTCTTTTTTTCTTTTTTATCCTCACCTGAGGATATTTTTCCATTGATTTTTAGAGAGCGTGGAAGAGAGAGGGAAAGACAGAAACATCAATGTGAGAGGGACATTTAGATTGTTTGCCTCCTGCATGAGCCCTGACCTGGGCCCCAGCCTGGGAGTAATCTGTAACCCAGGTACATGCCCTTGATAGGAATTGAACCTGGACCCTGTGGTCCGCAGGCCAAGGCTCTATCCACAGCCATTTCTTAGCCCCTTCAGCAGCGGACCTTTGTTTTTTCCTTCAGAAGTGAGGTGGAAAAACTCTAGATCACCTTGGATTCTTATTACCCAAGTTACCAAGAACATTATGAGTGGCATACAGGGAGCTTAGCCAATGAGCTGTAAGAAAATGTATTTCCTCTGCAGCTCACACGCAGAGGTGGGACTGCTGGGGTGCTGTCTCCCCGGGAGGGCGGGCCCCCTTGTGTGTTGTGTCTCTGCTCTGGGCCCATTTGCATTTGCAGTCTCCTGAGCCAGTCATGACTGTTCCAGTATCCAGAATTATTTGCATATTTCATATCTATCTATCTATCGACATATATAGATAGATAAGCAAGTATTGTAGAGGTATAAGAAATCAAGGACTTACCTCTGAGAAAGTACTTAAAATTTTTTAAAAACTACATAGGTTTGATGTCTGCCTTAAAGGGATGAAAAACATTTTCTTTAAAATAATTATAAATGTCCAAATTATAACAATTTAAAATATGAAATATTGTAGAGTAATATGTTATTTAATGCTTTCATTCTGCTTTGCATGTACCTGGCCTAAAAGCCAAGTATAATGACAAGACTGTTAATTAGGTCAAGATTACAGATCAGTTTTTATGTAGGACATTTAACTCTATTCTGATACCACCAAACAGTCATCGTAAAAATGTTATTAGCCTTGAGGAAAGGAGTGTGGATGGGTTACTACAAACTTCCTCACCTGTCAAAATCATTTTGAAAGTGCATATTCTAATGATGGTGAGCCAGTACCATCTTATTGTAACATGGTATTTTCCCATAAGAACTCAGCTGGAAATTAAAATAAATAAATATATATTTTTCTGCTTATGTAATATATTTTAAATGTAAATTATAAAAATTAAAAGCAATGTAAATTTTGTCATACCTGCAGATATCTATAAACAGGCTATATATATATATATATATATATATATAGCAAACATTTACTAGTACAAGAGATACATTAAGCTAATACAAATTTGGCAATAGGAATATTCTAGCATGTTAGAATATTTACAATTTTTCTTGTAATTCAGAATTCAAGAATATCTTCATCTTAATTTACAATCAATTATACTACACATTTTACCTGTTTTTATGTTGCCTATT